AGTGGCCATGATCGAGCTCGTGAGAGGGATGATGGCTCTGATACCACTAATAGGATGCAAAGCTCTTGATTCTGAATGTCTTATGTTATTCATACAACTTGCACAATATATACAAGTCTCTGTAATTAGAATCCAAATACAAAAAGGAAACTGAATATGTATATGTGATACAGTAGTAATGACAGATTGATTCAGTAAATCTAAGATTTGATTTGCTTGGAGTTATTGTCCTTAATACATAATACTGTATTTATTTAATAATATATAAAAATTATATAAAAAAACTACATATAAAAAAATAGTGTGCAAATCATCATCTCTGAAGACTACAGTGTGCCCAGGAAATTTGGCTTAGAACCGTTGACGGATAGATTTTTCCTTTAAAAAGTCCAGAAGCTCAAAAGAGAATACCAAATCTATATCCAGGAGAAGAAATGACATGCAGCAGCAAGTTTAAAATTAGGTGAAAAAATTTCATTCACATTAGACTCAGCGTGTAACCTGAGGAATGCTAGATACGAAAGGGACGACCAAACCTTGAGGGGGTGTTTGGTTGGAGGAAAACTTTTTCTCTTCAAACTCTTCTCAACTTTCCTACTTATAAGATTATGGTTAAAATGTTATTTTGGTCCCTAAACTATTATATGGACCTTTGATTTGGTCTCTAAATTTAAAAATTTTTTGATTTGGTTCCTATTGTTTACCATTTTTATCCCAACTTGATCTTTCTATTAAATTTTTGTTGACGTTACATGTTAATTAACGACAGGGGCATGTCTTTTTTAAAATAAAATATGTGAAATTATAACATGGCAAAATACATGACTTGATAAAAAAAAGTATCTAAATAATCCCTAAACATAATAAAATAACTATATTACCCTTATCTTCAACCTCTACAATCTAAATCTTTACATTTTCATCAACGACTTAAGTAAGTCAGTGGTCATTTCCTTCCATTGAAAGTATGAGGTCCTGAGTTCGAGTCCATAGCATGCGGGTGGGATGGGATAAGAGATGGAAGATAGTTGCCTTTCATTGCGCAACTAAGATAAAAAAAATAAAAAATCCTTACATTTTCTCTCTCACTTGCCCAACACCAGATTTGGTTCTCTTTCCTCATCCTTTCCTTTGCCTTCTACAAACCCTTATGCTTTTCTCAACTATATAAGATTCCCAAGGCGAAGCAAGGAAGAGGAGCCAAGAACTTCGAACCCAGCAGGCGCTGTTGGGTTCCAAAACTTTGCTAGGTTCGAACCCAGATTCGAACCCAATGGCAGTTGGGTTTGAACCCAGCAGCCGTTGAGTTCGAAACAACCCAACAACTTGTCTTCTTTTTTCCTCTTAAATCTGTAATCTTGAAACAAACTTTGTTGCTTGAATCTCGTTTGGTGAGAGAGAAAACATGATGGTTGATAAAGAAGATCTGGGTTTGAGTCTTAGGGCCTGTTTGGTACAGCGGTTAAAATTCAGCA